ACTATTTACAATAGCCAAGAAATGGAAGCCACCTAAGTGTCCATCAGTAGATGAATGGATAAAGATGTGGTACATATACACAATGGAATATTATTCAGCCATAAGAAGAAAACAAATCCTACCATTTGCAACAACATGGATGGAGCTAGAGGGTATTATGCTCAGTGAAATAAGCCAAGCGGAGAAAGACAAATACCAAATGATTTCACTCATATGTGGAGTATAAGAACAAGGAAAAACTGTAGGAACAGAACAGCAGCAGAATCACAGAACCCAGGAATGGACTAACAGTTACCAAAGGGAAAAGGACTGGGGAGAATGGGAGGGGATGGGAGGAATAAGGGGCAGGGGAGAAGAAAGAGGGCATTACGATTAGCATGTGTAATGTGGCGGGTACGGGAGGGCTGTGAAACACAGAGAAGACAGGTAGTGATTCTACAACATCTTACTATGCTGATGGACAGTGACTGTAATGGGGTTTGTGGGGGGACTTGGTGAAGGGGGGAGTCTCGTAAACATAATGTTCTTCATGTAATTGTAGAGTAATAATAACAAAATTTAGAAAAAAAGAAATACATATTTGGTCATTCAGATGACCAAATATGTATTTCCCGTATATTTGGTCTTCATCCAAATATGTTCACAGTTCCTAAACACACTGCAGAGTCTGAAGGGGGTTGAAGGTTGAATCAATCAATGGCCAATAGTATAGTCAATCATGACTATGCAATGAAGCCCTCACAAAACCCTCTGAGAAGAGCTCTCTGGGATCCTGTTTTTTGCTGGAGAGGCGCTCCATGCTTGGGGACTAGAGTGCCTCCAGATGCTCCCGAGCCAGGCCCCAAGCCCTATGAGGAGAGAAGCTCCTTTATTTGGGACCTTGCCCTGGGCATCTCTTCATCTGGTTGTTAACTTGTATCCTTTACAGTATTCTTTATTAAACTGGTAAATGTGTTTTCCTGAGTTCTGTGAGCTGCGCTAGCAATGAATTGAGCCTAAGGGGGAGGTCATGGGAACCTCCAATCTGTCTCTGGCAGGTCAGAAGCACAGGGAACTGCTGGGGGCTTGTGACTGGTGCCTGAAGCCGATGGGCGGAGTGCAGTCTTAGAGGAGGGAGCCCCTAACCTGGGACTCTGGTGTTGTCTCCAGGCACATAGCACCAGAACTGGGTTGAGTTCCGGACCCCTGCTGGTGTTTGAGAATTGCTTGGTGTTGATATGCGTGGGGACACCCCTCTTGTCCTCCCCACCCCATACACACACTGAAATTGGGTCTGGGAAACTGAAAGAAGTTATAATATGGTTACCCTGCTGCATAACACTATTGTTTCTATACAGGAAAGAAATAGTCCCATCCCAGTCCCGGCCTCGGGGGGCTTGCCGTTGTCTAGTGTGGCATGTCTGTTGAAGGTGTGTTTCTAGGGGTACAGAGCTGGCATATCACCTAACAGTAGGCCCAGCCAAAACTTGTTCGGAGGTGAGGAATGATCAAGTGGCTAAGGTCATGCGTTTTGTCCCTGTTCTCAGGGACAGTGATGGCTTTAACCTTGGATTCTTCACCGGTAAGAAGGCGGTTCTCAACTGGGGGCAACTGGCTCCTCAAGGAACATTTGGCAATTTCTGCAGATATTTTTGATTGTCACAATTGAGAGGAGGAGAAAGTCTGGCATCTAGCAGGGAGAGGCCAAGGATGCCACAACCAGAGGACAGCCCCCATGACAGAGAAATCACTTAGTCTAAAATGTCAGTAGTGTTGAAGTTGAGAGAAACTCTGAGCTACATGATCTATTTCTCTGTAACTCTAAAAATTCTGTATTTTCAGAAAACCCTTTGCTTCTTTTAAGCCAATGCAAATGTTTAAATGGCAGTTTTCTCCTCTTTTGAATGGAAGGTCATCTAATAATGTACAATCTTAATAAATGCCAGAATCCCCTTGACATCATTCTTGCCAGGCTGTCAACCAAATGATGGGAAGTTTATTACCTCAAATCTTGGCCAATTTTCTGCTGCCTGCAGGCTAAGCGGATAAGACTTTTCCTGAATGAATAATGGAAATCTACATGTCATATAAAACCTTTGTCTTAGTAGCTTCATTATTTTCTCTCTCCTAGTTTTTTTATAAAAGTTATTACTTTTGATTAACAATCACTGGATTGAGTTTCATTTATTATCTCAACTCTTACCTCTTATTTAAATTAACTAATTATCTTTAATTGAAGTACAGCTGACATACAACATTTTATTAGTTTCAGGTGTACAGTATATTGATTCAACATTTATATACATTACAAAATACTCACCACAATAAGTGTAGTTATCATCTGTCACCAAACAAAATCATTACAATATTACTGCTATATTCCCTTGACTCTTATCCCCATGACTTATTTATTTTATAACTGGAAGCTTATATCTCTTAATCCTCCTTACCTATTTCATCCATCCTCCTCTGGCAATAGCTAGTTTGTTTTCTATATTTATGAGTCTGTTTCTGTTTTTGTGTATTGTTTCATGGATTCCATATATGAGTGAAATCACATGGTATCTGTCTTTCTCTGTTGGTTTATGTCACTGAGCCATTATGCTCTCTAGGTCCATCCATGTTGTGAATGGCAAGATTCCATTTTCTTTTATGGCTGAGTAATATCCCATAGTGTGTATGTACCACATCTCTACCTATTCGTCTGTCAGTGCACACTTAGGTTGCTTTCATATCTTGGCTATTGTGAATAATGCTGCAATAAACCATTACTTATCTTTTAGATTGATATCTTCTGAGTAGTGAAATGATTAAATGCAAGCAGCAATCAAGAGTGCCAAAGAAAGATACCTATTAATCCTCACACTGGACTCTCAAATCCTGAGAATTCCAAATTAGCTCTACTGTTCTTTAACTTCTAGGCATTTGCATTTCTTGTTATATTCTTCATCTGCTTCAGATCCCATGGCTTTCAAATGGTGGAGGACAGTTAGCTCTGAGCACTTCTCAAGGAAAATCCAAGTTCGAAGCATCCTGGAGAAGGTCTCTGCCCTCTTAGAGAGCAAAACTGGATGTATGGCAATTGGGTCCACTCCCCAAAGGAGAGTCTGCAGGCAGCAAGAAGCTGGGGCTCATGAGCAAATGGTGCTTCAGGGCTGATGGAGCTACAGGCATTATTGACTTCTGGCTATGGAGTTAAATACCCAGATCTTCTAATCTTTACCATTTCCCAGTGACCGTGAACATGATCTTTAAATTCTCTAACCCTCAATTTCTTCATCTTTAAAATGGGGTAATAATAGTACCTACTTCACACATTTCCTCTGAGGTTCTAAATGAAGCAATCTAGGTCAGGTGCCCGGGTGAGAGTAAGTTCATTAGCGGGTGTTGGTGCTGGAGTCATGGCTGGGGGGGCTCGAGCACATAAAGGAGAAAGGGAATAGCCAGTGCTATTCAGAGAGAAGTGACATTACTCTGACGAGGAAAGGCACTCACTTCTGTTTTTGACGTAAAGAACCTCTGTGTATATGCACTCCTCACCAGAATTCTACCCCATGCCTTTTGTAAACAGAGAGGCAGAAAGGTTGGTACTGGTACTAAGGCCACAGAAAACTGAAAAATGTCTCTATTCTCCTCCTGCACTCTTATGTCTCTTCCAGAATTCTCTTTCTTTGGTCTCCGAATCACACGAGTCACACAGAAAGACACTGGCATATGTAGATTAAAAGTTATGACTACCAAAAAGCAAGACACAGAAAACTTACTGCTGCTCAACTTATAAACACCAAAGACAGATAAACTTCAATGTAAGCCCTTGGTGGAGGGTCATGTTGGGTCAGTCCCCTCTTGTGAACTCGTTCTGACCAAGTGTGTCTCACCTATCAGTGGTTCCTTTTTGATGCAAATGATAATCTTACCCAGAAAACACCACCCCGGACCCGCACGGGCCTGCAAAGTGGCAGGGGGTGCCCCTTGCTTCTTCCTCTGCCCAGCACTTCAGGGCTGTCCAGGGATGTGAGTGGGAAGATACCGGAGATGCCACTGACAGTGGAGGGGACACGTGGTCGCTTTCTCCTTCCTGGCAGCGCCAGCTGTCTGAGCATCTCAGCACCAGAGCCAACCAGAAACCACCCGCAGCTGGGGGTCTCTGGGCTCGGCCTGCAGGAAATCCCAGCTCCCAAAGTGAATATAAGACTGGACCAAAGAGAATCCTGTTTAAATAGGTGACCAACCAGGATGACGTTAATTCGGAATTCCTTTCATTTCTGGTTACTTACTGTAATAGTTTGCCTCACAGACACAGGAGGTCCTACATGGCCATCACATCTGTGGAAAGAATTTGAAATAATTTCTTTGAAGAAGTGCCTGACTTTCACCAGGAGGAAAATCAACAGCACATTTGCCATGATAGCTTGACATCTTGAGAAGATAAATTCCCGATGTTCTGTAGGAAGATATTTTTTTGGTTAGTACATTGTTGAAAAAAGTTTCAGAAACCTTTTCCTGTAATTGCTTAGTATCAACGTTTTGCACCTTTGCCACTCAGGCAAGAAGAAATTATGTAATGGTGGATTTGTATAGGAACATAGCATAAAGATGAATAACAAAAAGTCACATTTGCTGAGTGCTTACTCTGTGTCAGGCAGTGTTCTCATGCTGAACGCCCAGGTTACCTTGTTTAAACACATCACTTTGTGAAGTGGATATGCTGTGACTACTTCCATTGTACAAACCAGGAGATGGAGGCACAGAGAAATTAGAAGACATTGACCAAGGCATGCAGTTAATGGCTGAGCTCAGCCCTGGCCACAGGCTCATTGAACCCGGAGCCTCTCTTCTGATCCGGTATGGCACACTGACTCTTCTTGCAAATGGGAAACAGCTTTTCTGTGTCTGTCCATTTCCATTTTAAAGAGAGGATCAGGTCAGGACCAGACTTAATAATTCATACGGGAAGTTATAAAAAGTAAACCCTGTAAAGATGGCTTCTGGATGTTTATTTTTATGAAAATGACACTATGAAATCATTTTGGAGAACAATTATACTTTCACTATTTGTGTTGCTTCTCTCAAATTCAGTAGAAGGCAAAAATTTTATGAAACATAGGTCCACAGATGTTTATCTTTTAAGTTTATAAGCCTATGCCAAGGGGTGCTCTGCCTGAATTACAGCCCAAGGCTTAATGGACTGTGATGACTCACTGCTGTGTATGAAATCAGGTCTTCTTCACTAAGGGAGCAGTAAAGGGAATAAAGAATTAAAGAAACTGTAATGTTAGGTCAGATCAGTCAAAGGTGGCAAAATGCAGTTTTCCTTTATTCAAACTGCCAGCTGCTTCATGGGTCATGGACGTTGAGCATAAAACCTGGAAGGCCAAACAACTTTATATCTTAAAGGCATCCATATGTAATTTACAGTTTAGCTCAAATTTTAAACAGAAATTGAAATTAGTATCATGTTTTTTCATATTACTCTGAAATACCACATTATACTAATAATATCTAGAAGCTAAGTACTGCTTTTATTTTTATTCTTCTCCCTTCAGCTTTATTGAGCCCACATGCATGCCGCCCACATACTAGGTACTAGCTGGAGTGCTTTGGAGGAAATCGATATGACTGGGATAAGGACCCCATTCTCTGAGAGCTTTCAAAATAGGAAAGATTAGATACAGAAAGAATCAAAATACAAGCGAAGATGTGATAAGGATAATAAAGAGATGTAAGTAAAATGTGCTGAAAATGCAGAGGCACCAGTGATAATCTCTGGGGATACGCAGGGAAGGGACAGGGAGAAGATGGCCACTGGACTGGCCTGAGAGGTGAAGAACAGCATGAGCAAAAGCCGGGAGGTGGGAAAGAGCAAGGGAGAGCAGAAACTGGCCCGAAATTCAATTTGCCAGGAGCCAAGAGGACATGCCAGATTGCGGAGATTCTTTCCGAGCCCTGCAGGGCTGCAACCCTCTCGGCGCACCCGCGCAGCTCAACGCTCTCACCAGCTCCCCAGATGCCGGTCTGATCTGAAGGGAGGACAGCAGCAGCAGGAATCGGTTTCTCAGAGTGGCAGGAGGGTGGAGGACTCTACTTAGAGGATGCTTAGAACACAGCGGGGACTCGGCAGCACTGAGTGTGAGGGTGTGTGGTGGGTGGAAGGATGCACGCTCCCGTGGGGTGTGCAAAGCCATGTGTGCCATTGAAGATGTAGGGCAGCAGGGTAGGGGACTCAGAGGCTTGGCGGCCCAGAGTCTCTGCACGTGCTCCCAGGCCCTCCTAAGAGATTCATCTGTTTCTGATGTGAAAGGCTTCTACTTGAAGAGTGAATAAAAGCAACAGTGGTATCATGAGAGCTATGCTGGTTAAAGTCCTCTGGAGTTGGTGATTTCAAGGGATACAAAGCTACCTCTCCTTCTGTGTTCACCCATAAGTCCTGCTGACGCCACACCTTAAAGATCTCTCACATACGTCCCTGCTTCACCGACTCCACTCATTCTGCCTTACATTAGACTCCCACAGTTTCTCTCCTGGATCCATCTCCATCCTCATACCACCAGTGGAGACATCTGCCTAAAATGCAGATTTGTTCTGATCAATTCTCTGCTTAAAATCTTCCAAGGTATTAGCCAAATCTGAACAAATTACTGGCCAGTAATTCAATTTGCCAGGAGCCAAACTGAATTCCAGGCTGTTCTTTCACTTGCTGAGACTCTAGACAGCCCCTCACTCTTCATGCCTCATCTTTTCATACTCCTTTCCTCTCGGCACCCATACTTGAGACTTAACAAATTTATTCTACCTCCGTAAAATATTCTTTCTTGTCTCCATACCTTTGCAGATACCATTCCAAAATTTTCACTCAGTAGGGTGTAGCTCAAGAATATTCTTTTTAATAAATATTCTTTTCTAACCAGAACCCTGGGTGATGTCCCCCAAATGTTGGTGGGGGATGTTCTGAGCATCGGCCACTGAAGAGAACACAGCAACTCAGCCCTTCTGTTTCAAAGACAGACTCCATGTCCTCCCACACCCACCCGTAATCCAATCAATCAACAGATTCTTTTAATTCAAACTTAGAAATCCCTTTCAAAACCTTCCATATCCCTACATCTCCCTGCCTTCATCTTAGTTAAGACATTTATCATCTTTTGCCTTTATTATTACAATAAGCCCTCTGTCTCCTTAACTGTCCTTCTGTCTGCAGGTTTTGTCCCAATCCAATCCGTTCTACACCCTTTGGCCAAAGTGAGTGATATAAACTGAATCACGCCACTTCTTTGTTTAAAATACTCCTTTTTGCTCTTGAGTGAAAGTTCAAATTTCTCTCTGCTTTCACACTGCCCTGTATTACCTGGTCCTTACACACTCTACAGACTCACGTCTCACGTTTGTACATCCCTCTGCCACAGGGAATTTGCATGCCTCTGAGCATGTGCATATTTTATCCTTTTGCTAAAACATTTTTTGACCAGCTGTTTGCTTGGATAACTATTTCATCCTTGAAGAATCATCACATCATTTTCTTTGGGAGACTTACCTGGACTCAGTCTAAGATACATACCCCTCCTACATTCTCCCAGAACCCAGGGGACTTCCCCATCTTAGCACCTCCTTGTCTCACAAGACTGAAGTCTGAGAGCTAAGGACCAGAAGTTTTACTCCACAGTGTTGCATGTGCTATTCGTTCAGCAGGACTTGTTGAATAAATGAGCAGATGTGTTCATTGTATCCTTGGCACATCAGTTCCTCATACATTCTTCATCACCAGCCATCTAGTCTCCTAAGAGTGGAGAGTTCACCTCCACTCCCTCTTCCCCACCCACCACAGCCAACTACCAGGTTCTGAGTCTACATTCTAACTGGGCACACGTCTGTTCACTTGAGCCACTCCTCACTGTCCCTGTCTTAGTCTACAGTCTGTTACCTGGCCTCTCTGACTGGAGTCTTGCCCCCAGTTCTGTTGTTGGGCTACAGCTCGAGCAGTCTCTCAGCCTTGGCACACTGGTGTCTCTTAGGCATGATGGCCTGTCGCGGGCATTGTACGATGTTCAAAGAGACCTGGACTCCTGCCTACCAGGTGCCAAAAGCGCCTACCTTTCAGTTGTGAGAACCAGAAATATCTTCAGACACTGCTGACTGTCCTCTGGGGTCAAAATGGCCCCTGGTTGAGAAGCACTGAGCTAAAGTGGAAATCTGATTATGTCACTTTTCATTTTTAAAACTATCAATGAAAAAATATATAAACATATGCACATATACACACATATGAAGTACAGCAAAGCATTAGTGTTTGTCCAGGTCAGTAGGTTGTGGGTGAATTTATCTGTTATATATACATGTATATGCATATATGTGTGTGCATATATATGTTTATATATGTAGTATACATACAATAAGGAAAAGAATGGTATTATCTGAAAAACTGATTAATGGCTCTCCACTGTCTACAGGGTCAAGTCCAGGCCCCTTAGCACTGCATGTGTAAGGCCCCTGTGTCCTGGCCTCTCCTACCCCATCTGTTATCAGTCTCACTTTGTACTGGGCCACTGAACTTCAGTGACCTAGATGAGTTCCTGCTTTCTCCAGTCTCTGACCCTTCTTGCGTTATCCTTTCTGCCTGGTGCAACCTCCCAACTCTTAATTGCCTAGCTCAGTCCTGTGTGTCCCTCAAAAACTGGCTCCCTTCTTTCAGGAAGCCTTCTGGATCCTCCAATATGAGTCAAGTGCCTCTCTTATATGCCCTGATGGCAGGAATACACACATCCACCACAGCACTCTCTGTGATATGCAATAATCATCAGTGTACTTGACTGTCACCCAGTCTACAGCAAGGCCAGATGGTATCCCTGTGTGAACTGGAAGGGCATCCCTTCCTCAGATCCTAACTGTCACTTGCCAGAAAACTGCCATAATAAGTAGATGAATCCATGATGATGGTGATGTGGCTGGCACTCTGTAGAGTTCTGGGGGGCACTGCCTACCCACCGTATGCAGTCACTTCATGGCCCTACTGCACTTCACGTCCCCTCCAGGCAGGGACCCTGCCCTATTCTTGCAATTTTATCTCCAGCACTAAACATAGTATCTGATGCAAGTAGGACTTTAATAAAAGCTGGATAAATAGTAAAAAAGCAGCTGCCACTTCAGCTACTAACACCATGCCAGGCATCCTGACAGCCCTGACCACAGCGGGAACAGGAAGCGAGGCTGCAGTGGTTTCCAAACCTGAATGAGCATCCAAATATCCAGGAGAATTAAAAATAAACAAATGATCTTCTTGTGGCCTACTTCCAACCTTCTGAATCAGAATCCCAAGGTTGGGGCCTGATTATTTGTCATTATTTTATAATTGCTGGTGAAATTATAATAATGATCAACTGGATAAACTGGGAACCACTAGCTAGCCAGGATGAAATTCAAAACCACTCCCCTTGTCTTGCTTTTCCCTCTTGTCACTGCAGCCCTTCTGTTCATCTGTGGACACCACAGCTGGGCTCACTGAAGGAGTATTTCCAGAAAAGGATCCTTTTACTTTAACTTCTCCTTTAAAGTCTTGGCTTTCTGGGTCTTCTAACTCGAGCCTAGCCATTCAACTAGGAAAGGGGATGTTTCTATGAGTGAGAGAGAAAAAAGACTAGAATCCAAGGGGAAAAAAATATAATCTGCCTTTTTAATTGTACAAAATTGCATTTGAACTTTTTGCTTAAGTAAACTGAGGTTGCAGATGGACTGTGTAAGGCGTGTACACCCTATGGATCAGGCAAATTTGGGCATGTCTGGAGAGCAGCTAGGTGGATGCACCAAGTTCTCTGCATCTCAAGGGAAGAAAATCATCCTAAAGGAACAGGGGAGTGGGTGTGCACACACTCCAGGAAGGCTGCTGTCACTCCCTAATCACAACTGAACTGTGTAGTGAGCACCTACTATATGCTGAGCACCATGATGATCCTCAGAGGAAAGAGGCAATCTTAAATTTAATTGTACATGTTGTTCATGAGCCTTATGAACTAGCTCCCTCATCTTTTCACTGTGCCCTGGTCCTTGGGATTGCAACAAAGGAAAGAGTAAGGGGAAAAATCCATACCCCTAAAATTGCCATAATGAACTGGTAGCACATGGCTGAATAGCTTTGAAAATGTTTGTTGGTGTTCATGAGGGTAAGTGGCCCCCATGAAGGGGTGACTTCAGTGTGGAGTATGTGGGGGCATGAAACAGCAAGTGCATGCTCAGCATGTATCCACCGTTGGAGGGCATCACTGGGATAACTGGGGGTCTGGAAGAAGAAAGGAACAACTGTAGATGCTGCCTGGCATCTAGGAAGACTGCATTTAATCTCATGACATACACTATTGGGCACTTGCTGAACTGTGTGGAAGGGATCTGTGAGGTGATGGAGTTACTGAAATTTTGTGGAGAGGGCTGAGCACTATATGTCACAGGTACTAGATATCCCATAACAAGACACAAGGAAACAGGAATTACCAGGGAAGGCTGGGGAAAAGATACACGCAATACATGCATACTATTCTTGAATTTATTGGCTAGCAACCAATTAAAACATGAATGGAAAACATTTTTCTCTTTTCCTAGGGATGAGATGGGGTTATAGAGGGAACAGTTTAATCATTTACAAGTAGGATTAAAATACTAATGGAATAATTTGGGAGGTGCATAAATTTGAGAGAAGAAATTGTCATATTTGAAGCAGAACTGGCAAAACCTTTTGCCTTTTTATTAATTCGTGTAGTCACTAAGTTTTCATGGCTTTTTATGCACTAATTATAGGGAATCAGAGCTTCAACTTTTCATTGCCTGGGTCTTTCTAATATAAATAAGTACTGGTGAAATGATGAAGTCCATTTTCTTCTGGGGAGAGTCACCTATTATCCACTATCATTTCTCAGTTAAACCAAAATTTAAAAGAGGAAAAGAAATGTCTCTGATACTCAAGCTGTTAGGGCAGAGCAGAAGGTTGTCTTTTGATCAGAGCAGTTGGTTTTGTTTCTAAGATTTGCAAAAGAGTCTTAAACTGCTCTGTCGACTTGTTCTCCAGAGCACCGAGTACGACAAAGTTACGCCCTGATGGCTTCAGCGAGTAGAGGCCTGCCTGCTGACTGTCCCAGCTGCCCAGGATGACTCTGCTTCCCCGGGGCCCTTTGTCACTTCCTCCCGATGCCCTCAGAGGCAAGGAGGAGCTCCTGGAGCAGAGCCTGTATTTTGAAGGTTGCTTTTGCCTTTTGAAGGATCAGAGCTTCCAAAGAAAGTTGGGTTCTCCTTAAAAGAGCCCCTCAGAATGTGTGACACACAATTTATGTTCCTACCTTGGTGCAACACTCCCTTAACCTCTCCCTACCCCATATGCACATTCAGGATTTATATCCAAATATTTAGGTCCCACTGCTATTTCAAAATAAAAAACACATATTTTTACATTTTAAAGCAATGCCTTCATAATGCTCTGCACTGGCACCATTCACAAATATTTATTCCCACTTATGTTTTGAAAGTAAAATGTATTTAAAGATGACAAATTCTGAAGACTGCTAAATATGCATGGACTTAAGTGATGAGATTTGTGTCTTTTCTGCATGCTGTGTTATAGATTCCAGTTCATCCAGTAAAAGAGAGCTATAGGTCATTTTGCTATATAAGAAGGATGGTTGCTAAACAGAATTTTGCAAGTTTCAATTTTGTTCAATTTGGTCTATAACCAAAATACATGATACCAGAAAGAAGAATTTTCTCTTCTTTGCTCTGCTTTTATAATAACTTGTCATTTGAGCTTGGAAATAACTTTTCCATAGAGTTAACAGGTTCCTCAACTCTTTCTAATCTGCTAAAGTTAGTTTGTTCAGCTATATAAACCTGTGTCTTGAGGAAAATCTAAAACACAAATCACATCACAAGTCACAGCTAGGAATATTTCCTTTTCTCCTTCAAAGAAATATTTCTTATAAGGGAAATACTACTCAGTTTAAAATCTCCAAATGAAAGAATTACTTTCATTTCAAACATTTTTAAAAAGAAAAGCAACTCACCTATTTGAAGAGTATTTCCTTGCAAGTGATTCTGGTAGAGACAAGCACATATATCTACATTTTGTTCAGCTCTTCATTATTTTCATCAAGGACAAAAAACAACCTTAAGTGAAAGCTGGAAGCAAAAAACCTGCCATCTATCCCACAGGGGAGAACAGAGCTGTGCTCTGGGTCAGGGAGCCTCATCACACACCCTGCTGGCTGCCCGGCCCAGGCCTGTTGTTTCTCAGCAGCAGTGCCCGTGGACGCCTCTTAGTGCTGCAGCGCACACTTAATGGTTCGAAGGCACACAGGGAACACATCACGTGCCAAGCCAACACCTTAAGAGGGTGGGAAGCTTTTCAACCAGGAAGAAAGTGTTGAAATATTTAGCAGTCAGCTCAACTGCATGTAAGCAAAGCCTTGCTTGTTTTTCACAAAACAATCCAACAACATTATGAGTCAAGATGAACTGATTTACAGTTTTACACTAGGAACCATGTGGAACCTAAAGCTCCAAAAGCTTCCTCTCTTTTCACTTTAGGTTTAATTTCTGGGCAACCACATCAATACTTCTAGTAACGGTGATAACATTTTTCCCATTTAAAAATTTTATTTCTCTCTGCTCTCTTTGCTTATCTCATTTGCTCTAATTTAGTCTCTATGTCCCATCTCTTCCTGTGACCACAGACACACATACCCGCAAGGAAGAATTAATTTTGATTTAAAGATATTTTCCTGACCAGGGCATGTACCAGGCTCTTAGAATGGTAGGGGAACTATCAAATTTATTTCCCAGCGTTTATCCCATTATTCACCACGTGCGCCACCTGGGACCTGTGCAAGTGGTTAGAAGTTGGATTTGGGAGATCCAGGTTCCATGGTTTCAGAAGGACTTTGTCCCTGTGTGAGCTAAGTCTTGTTTCCTTTCTTATTATCTGAATTAAAATTCTAAGAACAAACATTAAACAATCTGAACACAAAACAGGCTCTGGCCTCTGGGATCAGGTAACTACTGAGCTGTCACATGACCTGAATTTAACTCACCCTTTCCGTCCTAGCAATCGAAGCTTTGAAGTCTCCTTTCTGGATTTTCTGAAGGAGAACAGGGAAGCAAATGATGACCTGAAGTTCAGCCGAGAAGGAACCGATGTTGGGTTTCTTGGATTAGGTGTATTTTTAGGTCCTGGTGTGTGTGATTCTATACAATCTAAAAGAAAATTGTAAAAATTTTGCGTTGTTTCAATTTTGCCAGGTAGATATACTTTAGAGAACTAAAGCTTCGCTCGCTCTTGCTTCCCCTTCTGTCTGCGCAGGTTAGAAACACAGCACGCAACCCCCGGTGGAGACCTCAGGAACTAAGGGGTCCGACCTGCGGCTCCGATTGTTCTGCTGAGGAGAGAAAATGGCTCAGGAAGCGCAGGGAGTCTTTCCGTATGCAACGTGAACTGCAGTTGCGTAGAGTGTGTCTCGCCCCTCACAGGGCTCTGCTCGCCTTTCTCAAGATGCCTTCCCCACGGCTATCCAAAGCCAAGGGGAAGGCTTCGTTCCGCTCACCGGCTGCTCCTGACCACGCCGCCTTTCAGAAAGGTTTGCTTTAGTACTTTATGACCACAGAGATGGATGCCATGACTTTTTATATCAAAGAAAGGAAAGGAAGGAAACAACCATTTAGAGTGTTCTCTGTTCTGCCAAAAATCTGTGTACATATGTATTTGCTACTATACATGGTTTATATGTGTGTATGCATGTAGTATAAATATGTAAAATATGCAGGTATAGATAATATATAATTTTACATATGAGTATTAAAAATTCTAAGGCAACATCAACATATACAATGCCTAATATTTTTGGACATGCTGAGTTTATAATATTAGAGGAATTCAAAGTAAGGGGAAAGTCACCATGGTATTTAAGGGGTTAATCTAAAAATCTGAACTTGAGTCTTTTCAGATTTGTTTATTATGAGAGTTGAAAAATATTGTCAATATATAAATTTAGAAATATTGCTAAATGTTTCCTAATGTTAGTAACATTAATAATATATAAGCAAAAGTAGTCAGTGTGACTTTATCAGTAGAGACTTTATACTGTTTAGTATTTTTTTTTATTTCTAATGCACTTTATGATTCACACAATAGTCTTGTGAAAGAAAGCATGTCTTATTATCCCCATTTACATATAAAAAAATAAGCGATGGATGCAAATAAGTGACATAGTAAAAATGTGCAAAGAAGGCAATTATTGGAACTTTACCCACAGGGTTTGAGTTATAAGGAGGGCTGCAGCTCCTCTACCTCCTTCTGCCTCCCTGTGTCCAGTCCCCTTCACCCGGTGCCTCCTGCATCTCCCTCTCCTCCTCCTTGTGCATCATTATCTCATTTATTTAGGAGCTTATTGTGTTCTAGCTCAGTACTTTATGCATGTAATTTTATTTAATTCTCACAACCACCTGATAAGGTAGATATTACCATGTCCATTTAAAGATGAGAAAATTGAGGCTTACAGAGAAAAAGGAACTTGAACACAGTCACATGGATTCTGATAGAACAGAGGATATGGAGAAAGACAGAGAGATTTGAATCCAGGCCTGTTCTGATATTGATATCTGTGTTCTTAACCACTATGCTCTCTTGCCTGATTCTAAAAACATACTCTCAAGACATTAGGGTATATTTTCAGTTCACTCTTTTAATTGTGTGTTGTGTTATGAACCTTTGGTACCTTTTGATTTCAACAGAGTCCTAAACATAGATAGGTTAAATTACAGATCCACTGAGCCATTATCTACTCTGCTATGCTGTAAGAAAAGAAAATTCAAATCTAAATTTTTTCTCACCATTCTCTGCCATCCCTTTCCTTAGCCTGTATGTAAGTGGTTGCTTTAACATTTGGCTAACATCCATTTCATTGCAAAACTTTTTTCTTTGAATTTCTTCAAACCATTCACCAGTCACTCCTTGAAGCCATCTGATATCCCTCTTTGTCTTCTGGAGTTTGCTGAAATAAAACAGAAATATCAATGTACCCTTTAAATGTCTTTGCATCAAGTGCAAAGTCACGTGATGGGCTAAATTCTACCTAGTGAAGGACCTGTATAAACTGTAAGTTTAGGGGAAAATATAAGCTCTAGTTAGAAGGTCCTTTTCACCACTGTGTATGTATTTTAGCTGTATTCTTTCAAATATGATGACAATCTAAAAGTTTTGCTAGTAGTTAAAATAAGTCGGTGAGGACAACCTGGGATGAGCAAACCTGAACTAATAATGCAGTTGAATAATACATGTTTTAATGATATGGAGAAACAAGAATATTCTAGTTCTGATTACTCATTCATTGATCAATTAAATGTTTACTGAGCAATGTCCATGTACCAGTCGCGATGGAGGCAATGGGGAGTGGACAGTGAATGTAACAGACAGTATCTTTTACTCGCCCATTCAGTGGTCAAAGATGGAAGCTTGCATGCAGAAAATAAATTGTTGAATGTAATGGTCTTAAGATAGTGGAATTCTTTAAACACAAAAGCCCACGAATGAGCACATGACTAATGATTAGTGGTAAGGACAATGTGATTTGAGATGGATATAGCCATCCATAACACAAATGTGTCTGCCCCACACCTTCAGAATACCAGGCTGAGATTCTATCATTTCCTCTTTCTCCCTCTTCCATGCCCTTTCCTACTTGGTCCTCTTTCAAATGAAAGTGCTGCTCTATGTCTTTCATTAAATCATTGGTTGTAATTGTTTTTTTGAAAGACAGTTCATTTTGCTCTATTATAAGGAGACCTTAGAACTGTTTGGAAATGAAAGGTACTCAATCCAGAGGGCAACAGCCCTGGACTAAGACAAAAAGAGCAGAAAGGGGAGTGTGAAGAACATGATGATAAAATCATAAAGTGGTCAGTTTCGCGTAGCACGGATGAAAAAGTCAGGCTTGCTGGTTTCCAAGCTTGGGAAATTCTGCTGTTTTGGAAGGAAATGGCAGCTGCCCTTTTCCAAGGGTTCTCATGTGAAGCACACATGTAAGGGACTTCGTATCACTAAGAAGGTGGTAAGACCGCTGCAGAGTGGCAAATTTGGGGTTAAATGCAATGAACTGAGCCTGCTGCCACTAGGGCTCCTGCTTGGGGCTATGATACTAGAATTTTGGAAAATAATTGAGAAGGAAGCCAGCAGCCATTCTGCCCAGACTTGCGCTTTGAAAAGCTGTAGGCAGCCATCATCAGGGACAGCCCACACAGTTCGCACCAGTGCCTCCTTCTGCCAGTGCCGCCTCTCCACCTGGGCACTCCTGTCTCTGTTGCTGCCTTCCTTACTAACAGACTAAGAGCCCACAGGGACCTGCTTCTCGTAGCACTGGCTGCCTCCCGCTTACTAACACCTTATTAATGTCCCACATTTGTACAAGACCTCCACTTCCTCAGAGCTCTCCACTTCTCAATACACCCGTCTCATTTCAGAGGAAGCTACCTGACTTAGGGACTCTCTAGTAAAAATTATTTTATTTTTACTTCATTTTCTTTCTAAAGTCTCAATGTAACATTGACTCTCCTTTAAAATAATCACACTTCACTTAATTTCACCTCATGTGCTCATATCCACCACCACTGGTTTCTTTTCTAAATCCAGGACAATAAATTCAGAAGTCTGTACCTCTCTGTGAATACTCATACAATTTCAATTCTAGTCTGGGAAATATATGTTAAGGGAACATCCTCCCCACTCACCAAGTACATTAATTTAACTGAACAGTATGCAGCTGCTAGAAATAATTATGCAGGCAATGTAGCACTCTGTGGAAATGCATGTGGCATAGTATGAAACAGGAAAAACAAAATACACCATTTTATCTATGCATATAACTATGCAAAAATGAAGCACCCATTGGATACCCTAGGGAAAAAAATCAAAACACCTCATACCTTAGGATAGAATATATAGAGGTACCATTTCTATTTTTAACTCTTTTATTCTGTTTATTCAATAAGTACAATATGTGGACCTATTTTTTTCTTTTTAATTGTGAAGTTTCATTTTATTGTCATTTTTCCCATTATAATTTTTCTTGTGGATAAAAAAATTCATGTTTTCACAATCCTAAACACAATCACTATTGCCCTTTTCATGTGATTTTTTTCCTTTGCATTTTTCACAGGATTGTAATAAAATTTATTCAGTGTACATCTGTGGAGGGCTGCCTATGGTACAAATGCAGGAATACAATGGTGAGCAGAACAGATATGGGTCTTACCCTAGAGAGCTTACTGTCTAATGGGAGACACAGATAGATAGGAGGCCAGTAATAACACAGATGGAGTTAACAAAGAGTGGTAATATGATTTATTCATTCAGTACACAGATGAACTTTGGGTAAACAGCAATGAACAAGTCAAGTTCTTTCCCTCACAGTATTTACATTCTGCTGGTAGGAGTGAGGGGAAGCAATAAAAAATTAAACAAGTGCTATGAGAATATAAAACAAAGAGACCTGGTCTGAGGCAGCAGTAAAGATTTCCTTGAGGAGACAACATATGGCCTGAAAGTTAATGGATGAAGGATGTGGGAACAGCTTCCAAAGGCTGTTCTGGGAGACAGCTTTCCAGGCAGAGGAGCAGTAACTGTAGTGCAAGTGCCCCCAAGGAAAGAAGCAAGGAACTCAACTGAGGCCCACCCGGCTGGAGTGTGGAGGTGGGGAGGAAGGCTGACTGGAGGGGACGGCTGCGAGATTGTGCTGTCTCTGGGGGTGGGTTAAACACTTTGGCACTTAGTCCTAGAGCCCTGAGAAGGTACTGATGGTTTGGCAGGTGCACAACGCGTCTGATTTGTATTATCAAAAGATCATCCTAAACTGAAAAGCCCTGCACAGCAAAGGAAATCCTCCACAAAATGAAAAAGCAACATACTGAATGGGAGAAAATATTTGCAAATCATATATCTGACAAGGGGGTAAATACCAAAATATATAAAAAATTCATACAACTCAACAGCAAAAAACAGACCACCTGATTAAAAAATGGGCAGAGGATCTGAATACACATTTTTTGAAAGATACACAGATGGCCAACAGGTATATGAAAAGATGCTCAACATCACTAATTACTTTGGAAATGCAAATCAAAACCAGAATGACATTATCACCTCACCCCTCTTGGAATGGATATTATCAAGGGCAAGAAATCACAAGTATTGGCAAGGATGTGGAGAAAGGGACCCTTGTGCACTGTTGGTGGGAATGTAAATTGGTGCAGCCACTGTTGCACACAGTATGGAAATTCCTCAAAAAACTAAAAGTAAAACTACCATATGATCTACCTTTTCCACTTCTGGGTATTTATATGAAGAAAATGAAAACATTACTTCAAAAAGATACATACACCCTTATTTTCATTGCACCATTATTTACAATGTTTTCAAGATGAAGAAACAGCCTAAGTGTCCATTAATAGATGAATGGATAAAGAAGATGTGGTATATATATGCAATGGAATATTACTCAGCCTTAAAAAGAATGAAATCTTGCCCTTTGTGACAACATGAATGGACCCTGAGGGCCTTATGCTAATGAAATAAGTCAAGCAGAGAGAGACAAATACCATCTGATCTCATTTACATGTGGAATTTGAAAAACAACAAGCTAAGCTCCTAGACACATAGAACAGATTTGTGGCTACCAGAGGTGGGGGGCTGGGGAGGAGGGTAGAAGAAATTGGTGAAGAGGATCAAAAGGTACAAACTCCCAGTTATAAAATATTTAAGTCATGGGGATGTAATGTACAGCATGATGATTACCATTAATAATACTGTACTGCATATTTGAAAGTTGCTAAGAGAGTAGATCTTAAAAGTTCTCATCACAAGAAAAAATGTTTTGTAACTATGTATGGTGACAGATGATAAATTAGACATATTGTTTGGATCATTCTGCAATATCTACAAATATCAAATCATTAGGTTGTACACCTGAAATTAATATAATGCATACGTAATATATACCTCAATTAAAAAAAAGTCATCCTAGCTACAGCTGGAGAGGAGTCCAGTGGAGAACAGGAGAGTAGTCAGGATAGTGGTAAGGTCTAGGATAGAGGTGTTTGCTTGGACCAGGATGATGGTGGTAAAACGTAGGAAAAGTAGTGTTCAGAGCTACTCAGTGGGTAAAACTGATGCTCAAGTGTCCACGGAGTAATGAAGTAGTGACTTCGGAGGGTCAGGGACAGAGATACATCAGGAAGATTCCCCAATTTCTTATTTACATAGGTGCACAGAACATGCCATTCCTAGAGGTAGCCCATATATAATCTTTAAAAAAAACATTGTACATAAAGTCTCTTTAATATTTCTCATCTTTGGAGCAATCATTAAGTATTTGGATAATATTTAAGCTAGTATAATTTCCATAATTTATTTACTAGTCCTCTGGTGCAGAACACTGTGATTTTTCCTTACAAATACTACTGTAATAAACATCAGTGTGCATTTTCAATTTTTACAGTGCCTGTGACAGACACTGAAGTAGAATTATTGGGTGGGTCATACAGTCAAAACAGTTTTGTGATTCTTTATGCATACTATCAAAATCCTTCTCAAAATGACTGTAGCAATATTATTCATGCCAGCAACATATAAGACTACTCTTAGGCATCCTTGGAAGACTAGATAACATAATTTTCAGCATTTTTATTTTCTCAACTTCATACTTTCAAGGTACCATGCTTATAACTGTGGGTGGCTATTTTTCTTTTAAGAATTTTTATTTCCTTGCTTTAAAATATGCTGCATTTCTTTGATAAATAGTGTGATTTGAACACTTTCCCATATGTCTGCTAATCACATTTTGTCTTTTGGCAATTGTACACTGTGGGGTCAATGGAAGTTTACACCCAGAATTTCCCACCCTATTTGCATATCAACAGCCATTCTCTCCTCCCCTCCATTCCTGGTGTGTGATCGGTCAGGGACGTGTCCATGGAGTTTCACCCGAAGGGGTGGGCAGGG